AGCCTTTACTGCAAGATTGATAGAGACCTAAATCTTTTAGATGTAACAGACACAGACTGTGCGCAGTGTGTAGATGGAATCCATACTGCACCTGCCAGATAAAAACTCTTGGAACACTCTATATTATGATTTATGAAATGGGCAGGCGCATAAAGAGAAATAGGCTTGCTGAAAATATATAAAATGTCTTAAGAAAAGTAAAAGGTTTAATGCAACATTTCTACTTATACATCTTAATTTCTCCCCCATCAGCTACATAACAAATTATTCTATAACTTAAGATAGAGGCATCTTGCTGATCAAGAATAGAGAGCTTGTGCATAGCTGGAGATACAGGGTCAGCCATAATGGCTGCTAACTTTGTCTTTGACACTTCTGTGACAGATTCTGTAAGTTTTGAGAAGGCCAAAGAATGAAAGAGAAGTACATACTCTGCATTTCGAACATGGAACTGAGAACGTAACATGTGTTATATTTGGGATTACACTTTCTTATATCTTTCAGTGTCTACATTTGACCACTTTCTAAAGGGCATTGTGTAATCATGGAACTGAGAATCCCAGGATATCATTAAGTGACACGTAACTGGAGGAGCAGACAAGACGATAGGGGAATTACTACAAATCACAAATTACCTAACTCCAGCCACTTTGGAGATAAAAACTACAAAACAATTTAGCAAAGACACCAGCTAGCTTTGCAAGATCAGTTACCATGTGTTTGGTTGGAAACCTCCTAAACTTGGATCATTTTCCCCGATTTAAAGGTCACATGCAACCAAAAAAACAAACATAATTAAAACACAATTATCACTTATTCAGGACATATAAAATACATTGCTGATGAAAAAACAAATAAACAAAATTATAAGCGTACAATCGCAAATCAAAAGTGCAATATTTGGTACTTGGGTTTACTGCCCAACGAAGCACCCGGGAGACCAAACCCAGTCAGAGCGGACGGGTGTGCACTCAAGTGTAACGAAGCCTTTCATTGGCTGGTTCATTTGCCGATATGCTGAGGGCTCATTGTGTGTGTGTATATAGAGATGTTGGGTTTTGTAAATACATGCTCATTTTTTCTGCATTTGGGTTCGTTCAATCCAATCAACAAATACTGAGATGGTGAACTACTGTGTGGCTGGAAACTGTCGTTCTTTCAAGTACAAAGCAGGACTTGAAACTGACAATCTGAGATTGCACCAGTTTCCGCCTGATCCAGTCATCCAAGAAAAATGGATGCTGTTTGTTTGCAACCCACAGACATAATAACATGTCATGTGTACAAGTATCACACCTGCCTATCTGTGTAATTACATAATGTGACAGAGACAGAACTCAGGTGCATGAGCCATAAATCAATGTATTTTGTTTATGGTGTATAGCCTGATAAGTTTCAAGTTCAAATTGCATGTGGTCAGTGATTGTGCATTGCATATTGTCATTAGCAGACAGGCAGGCAGACACATAGGTGTCAATAAAACAGACATTGAGTTTTGTCTGTGACAGAGACTGCTTATCACAATCAACATATTTTTCTATGTTTCCATAGACATGTATTAAAACATTTCAGTTTTCAAGCTGAGCAATTATTAACAAAGAAATTAGTATTTCTAATGCTACACTTTCTTGAAAACTTGGTTTGCAAATCTGCCAACCCCAAAAAGCAAGATGTGAAAACATGTAAGAAAAAGTATGGGACCAGTGTATTTTTATTACTGCAGACCAAAGATGCATGTAATCACAAGTAACATCTTTTGTTCTCCTACTTCAACAACGATAATCCTTGCACGCATCACTTGCTGTGTTTATACGTGTCGCCTTCCCGGTTCAAACAGCGCGAACATAATCACTGCGCACGCTATGTGTTGCGTTGCATGTGACCTTTAAAATAGGTGGATTTGGGCACACTTTTACAACACTTCAAGATAAATAAATTTCTTTTGGTTAAAAAAAATTCACATTTTCACAAAACATGATTCTCAGTAGGCATCCATAGTAGCAGACTTGTGTTGATACTTCTAGATCAACACCCAGCAAAATTTGTCAACTAACGGATCAAAACATCCTTCCATCAATAGGATTACCTTTGTCCTGAGACATCAGTATCATCCATAGCCTTCAGGTTAATGTCATTGAAAACATCAACACTGAGGCAAGCACAGGCCACTGATTAGGATTATACAGGTGCTTCAGATATGGAAAAACTCAGTCTTGATGTGATAAACCTATATCGACTACCCAGTATATATCAGATGAATACATCATCCACAGGTATATTTCTGTAGGATAAAAACACAGTTGATGCACCCATTACACCAAAGTGGTGGAAGTCTGAGAGCTGCCTGACTTCTTGCTCTCATCCCACGCTGACATACTTCAATACAACTGGTATACTGTTATCATTCAACCAGAACATGGGAGGGAGGACTCCCAACTAATATACAGCGGTCAATCTCGAGTGGACATGGAAAGAGGCAGGTCAGGGAGGAGGGAGGACTTCCAACTACCATAAAGATAGTTTACTTCAAAATTTAAATCAAGCATAATAACATCATATAACTCAGCTCCACTGTACTTTTCCTTCGATATTAGAAAATTTAACACATTACATATGCAACTGCGTCATGGAGCTAGTACATTAAGTTACGATCTGTACAGAGTAGGGCTAATCACTGATCCATCCTGCGCATGTGGCAACCCTTGTGAAAATGCTCATCACTATTTCTGAGAATGTTCTTTATACAATCAACTTAGAAACATCATGCTTAAAGCTCTTCAAGATGTATGTGCTAGTAATCTGTGATTACACTCTGTTATTTTAAACAGCATTGCAGATCTGACAAATCATAAAAATGAAAATATAATAAAAATGTACATCAGTATATAAGCAAATCTAAACGATTCCAGTGGTCTTCTCTCTATACACCTTTTGTATTATAACATTTCCCCTGGACTGTCAGTCTTCCTCCTGTGTCTGTTTCTAATAATTTCTTGTAATGTAATTAGTTATTGTAAATATCTTTGGAGAGGGGTTTTATAAGTTGTAAGAACTTGTCCCCGATCCTTTTGACATTATGAATAAAATATGTTTAAACTAACCACCATAAAGAGTTCCATCTCAGGTGGGGTGGAGGGAAGACTACCAACTACCATAAAGAGATCCATCTCAGGTGGGGTGGGGGAAGACTACCAACTACCATAAAGAGCTCCATCTCAGGTGGGGTGGAGGGAAGACTACCAACTACCATAAAGAGATCCATCTCAGGTGGGGTGGAGGGGAGGACTACCAACTACCATAAAGAGTTCCATCTCAGGTGGGGTGGAGGGAAGGACAACCACCTACCATAAAGAGCTCCATCTCAGGTGGGGTGGAGGGAAGACTACCAACTACCATAAAGAGCTCCATCTCAGGTGGGGTGGAGGGAAGACTACCAACTACCATAGAGTTCCATCTCAGGTGGGGTGGAGGGAAGACTACCAACCACCATAAAGAGTTCCATCTCAGGTGGGGTGGAGGGAAAGACTACCAACTACCATAAAGAGTTCCATCTCAGGTGGGGTGGAGGGATGACTACCAACTACCATAAAGAGTTCCATCTCAGGTGGGGTGGAGGGAAGGACTACCAACTACCATAAAGAGTTCCATCTCAGGTGGGGTGGAGGGAAGAAGGACTACCACCTACCATAAAGGTGGGTGGAGGGAAGACTCCAACTATCTCAGGTGGGGGTGGAGGGAAGACTACCAACTACCATAAAGAGTTCCATCTCAGGTGGGGTGGAGGGAAGACTACCAACTACCATAAAGAGCTCCATCTCAGGTGGGGTGGAGGGAAGACTACCAACTACCATAAAGAGTTCCATCTCAGGTGGGGTGGAGGGAAGACTACCAACTACCATCATAAAGAGAGCTCCATCTCAGGTGGGGTGGAGGGAAGGAGATCCATCTCCATAGGTGGGGTGGAGGGAAGGACTACCAACTACCATAAAGAGTTCCATCTCAGGTGGGGTGGAGGGAAGGACAACCAACCTACATATAAAGAGGTCCATTTCAGAGCTCCATCTCAGGTGGGGTGGAGGGAAGACTACCAACTACCATAAAGAGCTCCATCTCAGGTGGGGTGGAGGGAAGACTACCAACTACCATAGAGTTCCATCTCAGGTGGGGTGGAGGGAAGACTACCAACCACCATAAAGAGTTCCATCTCAGGTGGGGTGGAGGGAAAGACTACCAACTACCATAAAGAGTTCCATCTCAGGTGGGGTGGAGGGATGACTACCAACTACCATAAAGAGTTCCATCTCAGGTGGGGTGGAGGGAAGACTACCAACTACCATAAAGAGTTCCATCTCAGGTGGGGTGGAGGGAAGACTACCAACTACCATAAAGAGATCCATCTCAGGTGGGGTGGAGGGAAGACTACCAACTACCATAAAGAGCTCCATCTCAGGTGGGGTGGAGGGAAGACTACCAACTACCATAAAGAGTTCCATCTCAGGTGGGGTGGAGGGAAGACTACCAAACCCCATAAAGAGTTCCATCTCAGGTTAGGGTGGAGAGAAGGACTACCAACTACCATAAAGAGTTCTACTCAAGGACATGCAGGACTACTAGCTTTTACACAGCTCTACTCCAAAAGGGTATGGGAGAGGTAGAAGAGCTTTGAATGTATGCAAGCCTTGCCGTTTGGAAAATTATGTAGCAAGGCATTGAGTCATCCAATAGATGACATCCTTACCTTGCAAACCTGCTGCCTGGGTTTACGTTTTTGGTCAAGTAGACAAGGTTTTGAACTTTATGTAAGGAGGTTTGGCAAGTTTATGCCCACTACAAGTGGACTATATCCTGATTGCCTGAGATGAAACTGATCAGCAAAGTGCAAAAATAGGTAAGTGTGTCATCTGTGACACACTCCCTGTGACACACATGGAAATATTTACATCACTCTTGCACTGATTACCTGCCTAGAGAAAACATTTCTGCACTTAATGTCCACTTACCAATCCTGCTATGGGTGTGGCTTGTTTGTTGATCCTTTTGACTGAGCCAGGCCTCAAACAGTTAAGTAATCTAAACAAAGATTTTTCAGTGAGAATAACAACAATAGTGCTAGTAATGACATAGCTAATCACAAAGTCATGCTGAGAATATTAAAAACATTTTGATCAATATTTACAACATAATCTTAATCCTTAAAAGAAGAACTGCCGGGATTTTCCGGAAAGCCGTCCAGGGCTGTAAAACGGAAATTTGGGGAAAATTGGGGGACAAAAATGGACCATATAACCGCCCGGGCGATAATTCAGAAATAAAATAATTCAATAGTCGGGAACTAAAATCGACTCACTGTCGAGTTTCATCCTGATTAGATATCGTGTAGATGCACGCAAAATGTTGCCAAAATGAAATCTTCGCAATTCAACATGTAGTAGTCATAACATTATTTATTTATCTGAAAAATGTGTTGCCAATATACCCTGGGCTTATCTTGTGACAGTTAAAACATACCTAATAATTCAAGAAATCAAGGCAGTCATCTTGCCTCTTCGTAAACCGAAACTTGATCATCAGCCATTTTGTAAGCATGTGACTATCATCCAATCAGAAAGCTGCTGTCAAATTTGTCAGCCAATCAAATTTAACCTTACAATGTTACGGTACCAATATTGTAATGTAGAGGGTTATAGGTCATGCAGTTGTTTACATACGCTACAAGGCGGGACAGACAGAACATGTGACATACATTATGTACTTTTTAATGATAACAACATTTCCTTGAATAAAGATTTATTTATTTATTTTAAGATTTATTTAGACAGTTACAAATTGTGATTGTTTATCACAGAAGTTGCCGTTTGCTGGAGCCCTGATTTGTCTGATCAGTTCCTTAAATTAAATGTCAGTGTCTTCAAAACCTTCAAAGACGTCCAGCTCATCATCACTATCGAAGATGGCTTGGATTTCTTCATTGGTTGCCATGTCAAAATCTACCTCCGGAATTTCATTTTCGACCGCTTGGTCTTCTTCGTCTTCTACCGGTACTTCAAGGCCAGACAAGACATCACGTAGTCGAGTGTTCAGCCGGTCAAGGGCCACTGTCCGACCACGGGGCGCAATTCCACAACATTCAAAACTTCTGACTATTGTGTCCTTGTTCAGTGTGGCCACAGCACTGGCGACGAAATCCACTATTCGTTGGTAGGATGGTTTCCTGCGATAACCTTTGTTTGTATACTCCTTTTCGCCATTTGCAAACCAATCCGTCCATTGGACACGAAGTGCTTTCTTAAACGGTCCATTGACGGAGACATCCAGTGGCTGCAGGTAAGATGTTGTTTTAGGAGGGATCAGTTTCACAACAGTTTTTCGTCGCTTGAATGCATCAAGAAGTTCGGCCTTCTTGTGAGCTGAGCATTCATCCATGAACAGCACAGCAGGTTGGATATGAAACAACTGAGCAGATCGTTGTCCAAACACTGTGTTAATCCACAATTGCATCAGTTCATAATTAATTGATCCCTTAGTAGCTACTGTCAAATAAACATTCTTTGGTAAGTTCACCTTTGGCACATTTTTCAATCCTTTAAGGATAATCATTGTCTTCAATACCCGTCCAGCAGCATTCACACACAGCACGGCAGTAAAACGCGCTTTCGTAGCACCACAGTGACTTGCGTCAACATTTTTGTTTCCAACAAAATCTATAGTTGTTGAACTCAACATATCAACATACACGGGTGTTTCATCCATATTGTATATCTGGTCAGCGTCCATATCTGAAGTTACTGCAGGGATGCTGTCTAAATAATCGCTGGCAATTTGTGCCTTCTCTCCCGCAGATTTATTGTCTGCTTGACCAGCGTGTGTTATCTTCCTCACTGACAGTTTGTTACGCTTCATGAAGTTGTAGATCCACTTGTCAGAACACTTGAATTCCACAGTTTTGATGCCAAGTTCTTTAGCCATTGTTAATGCCTTCTCTCTTAAACGGCGATAATTAACGATCAGTTTGTTAGCACGTTGATCTACAACCCATTGATAAAGGTCAGTCTCCAAATCCCTGTGTTTCGGTCCTCGACCACCACCAACAAATCTGCGTCTCTTTTTATCTGGTGTGTTTGTTAGTTCAGATTCTTTTGAACACCATTCCCGTAAACGTTTCCTATCGATTGCCAACTCTCTTGAAGCAGCAGATAAATTACCAGAAAGTTCTTTCACTCGCTTAACGGCATCTAATTTGTCACTAATGGTGTATGACCGCTGGACACGTTTCGCTGAACCAGTATTCTTCTCTGTCGCCATTGTCAGGAATGAAAATGTGTAGGTTTTGCCCGACATATATTCCAAGTGTAAACTATGTGTTTATAACAATTAAGTACCGGTACGTTTGATCACTAATCAACTCTTCTCCAACTGTTTACATAACGTGTACACACCTGTGGGGGACGATAACAATAAATTCGTTTTTGAGACAGCAACTGCAATTAATTATACCGACACTGATGATTACCGGTACAGTGATAATTTATTTGTAAAAACAATTGGTAAAAACAAGAGACGCACGTGTGTGTTTGCTTTTCATTCAAGCAGTACTAGAAGTGGGTTGGACAATATGCCCTTATTTGGAATTACGCAATGCTTTTTGTGTCAGCTAATCTGATTGGCTTATTGAAAGCCACCATCTTTCTAGGTCATCAAAACATCACACCGGTAAGTTTTTATGTCGCTTTGAAACGGTGTGCCTCTAAACGCATGAACATAAATGACGTAACAATAACGTTAGGTAATGTAATGTAAATGAAGATTTTTCAATTAAATCAGGCAGTTTTAACCATTAGTGTAAAATCTGTGTGTCAAAACGGACACGATATCCTGCGCAATAGTGTTGTTAAATTTATTTTCCTACACGTTTATATTCATCTACAATGAACCTCTGACACATAAATAACGAAGTTTACTGTGAATTATATTTCTAAATAGCAGTAATGAAAAAATAAGTTTTAACCCCATATAATCGCCCACCTAAAATAAACGCCCATGGGCGAATTATTGAGTGGGCGGCTTTCCGGAAAATCCCGGTGTTAATGTTCATTGCCACATGTATGGCTGTCAGTCAAGAAGAACAAAGTCTTGATGAACTGGCTCCTTCCATGTCAAAACACCTTTCACCCCAATACCAGTAAACTTGACAGAAACAAGAATTACCTTCTGTGGTCATGGAACAGTCCACAGAAGATGACGCCAATTTAAATGAACTGGCCTGAACCTTGACTTACCATCAACTGCTGTTAGCAGCGTTATAGGTACAGAAACATTTCCACGGCATATTAACATAGAACAAGAAGACAAGGTCATCAATATCCCCCGCAGTGGAAAAATACTCTTCATGATTATGTCTACAAGTTATGATTATGTCAAATATTTAGGTGTGTATATAGAAAAGTGGAAGGAGAGTATTGAAAGGTTTTGAAAGTTCTGCTCCAGAAAAGAGCACTATCACCAATTTCAGTCTATGTATGTGCCAAGTTTGGTGAAGAAACATTCAACGGTTTTAGAGTTCTTCTCCGGAAAAGAGCACAACCACCAATTTCAGTCTAAGTCAAACTTGTTGCCATGGAAACGCCAAAAATATTTTATTCAGAATTCCAAAACTACCAAAAGGCACCAGTACACCACCAGATCTATCTATGTGCCAAGTTTGGTGAAGAAATAGTGAACAGTTTTAGAGTTCTGCTCCGGAAAAGAGCACTACCACCAATTTCAGGCTAAGTCAAACTTGTTGCCATGGAAACGCCAAAAATATTTTATTCAGAATTCCAAAACTACCAAAAGGCACCAGTACACCACCAGATCTATGTATGTGCCAAGTTTGGTGAAGAAACATTCGACGGTTTTAGAGTTCTGCTCCGGAAAAGACAAATGTGCACGGACGGACGGACGGACGGAGTCCATTTTAATACCCCCTGCAAAACGCGTTGTGGGGGATAATAAATACAGAACATCTACATGGAGCATGCATGCTGACAGTTTATGTGCAATTCAGAAAATTGAATTTCTGTGAAAAAAAACAGATGTAACTTCGAGTAAAAGTTCATCAAAATCTTCTTTTTACTCTTTCCAAATAGAATGTCATCTTTAAACAAGAACATGTATGGAAGGATGGATGATTTTGCCCCAATACGTATCACGCTAATTTTAACTAAGTTCAATAGATGGAGTGTTCCAAGTTTCCCATGCACCATGAAGTTTGGAGCACCTTTTGTACTGACATAGAAAATACATTTAATTTCCGTCCCTGTCATATGGCATACTTTGTTCTTGTTCTGTAAGTATTGGTAGGAATCAACTTTTTCCAAAACATCAGAACTAATTGTGAAATAATTTTTTGATCCTTCAAATATGAATGTTTTAGTTTTGCTAATAATAACTTTAAGCTTCAGATGTTTACAACTGCTATGATGATCTCTTGAAGATCATAATACATTTCTGCCAAATCATGGCCAGTGATCTTTTCCTGGTCTTACTCCAAGCTTGTTAGATTACCATATATATTCTGGTACATACTAAAAATAACATTAAAACACTTCCCAAAACAAATTATTTTGGAAGAGTTGTATGATGTTTGAAACATGTTTAAAAGTTGTGAAAAGTAGACAACAAAGCCTGGAGCTGTTAAAGTGAGTGAGTGAGTATGGTTTTACACCGCTTTTAGCAATATTCCAGCAATATCACGGTGGGGGACACCAGAAATAGGCTTCACACATTGTACCCATGTGGGGAATCGAACTCAGGTCTTTGATGTGATGAGGGAACGCTTTAACCACTAGGCTACCTTACTGCCCCTGGAGCTGCTAAAATACTGCATCATATTAAAGTGAACAGGGTGAAGTTGAAAATTCATTCCTCTTGTCTGTTGTCAATCTGAATCTAAAAGCAGTGACGTAAATAATATCCGCATAAGGCATTGTCAATGGCCTCCTTTAAATCTAGTTAAGTTGAGTGCTGGAAGTTGAGTGCTGGAAGTGAACTGGGAGTTTGATGTTATCAAACAATATCAGATCATCAATATT